CGGGCTGAGCCCGGCCGGGCTCCGTGGATGAAAGCCCGGCCACGAGGTGCTCACCATCGTGCCACACCTCCAGGCCTGGCTCCAGAGTGGGGCCCCGGTGACCCGCGTCCGGGCGAGGAAACGCCAGATCCAATGGTAACGTCCGTCATAAGGGGTCTTCGGGCTGCGCTTTGTCTGGTTCCTCACCTAGGACCTGTCTGCCATGGGTGACCCTACCAGGGGCATAAAGCCCCAGACAGCATAGCTCCTAGGATCATTGGGACACTCAAACCCCTCCACCACGATAAGGTAGCAGCCCAAGGAGAGGCAAAATCATATCCTGTACGATTAATTGTCAGGAAAACTGTCAACAATTAATGTTTGCCACTTTGCATTACTTCAATTAGTGCCACCACATGACACCATCACTATCAGATGCTCATGTGAGCCCAATGTTTGAAAACAGTGTGGAGCAGCTAATGCTAACCCCAACCCAATAAATTTGTTTAATTGTCTGAAACACAGACATAAACTAAAGCACTACAAGAGGCAAGAAAATGCGGACCAAGACAACGTCTACTACATTCAAGCGCAATTGTCGTCRATAAATCGTCATATTTACTATTATTGGCTAAATGCTAATGCTAATCCCTAGCATGGCTAATGGTTAGAGTATGTGGACATGTAGATGAATACGATGTTTAGAGTACAAAGTAGGGATGCACCAATATGAAAATTTCAGCCAATATCGATATCTGATATATGATTATTGCTTTTGTGGCCGATAACCGATATTTACCGATATTACACAAACACACAAATTATATTATACAGTACATATACGCACAAACACACTTGGGTCTTGTTTTGATACCATAAATAAATGACGAGACCTCTGACATGGCTCTACTTCAGTTATTCCTGGCTACGCAGCGTCAATATCACTATCATGATCAAACAGATGCAGCTCAACCAACCATCTCCCTCCCAAAACAGAAACACAAAGCTAAAAAGTGGGAATTAAATATCGGACATTAATATCAGCCCAGTTTTCCATATCGGACCGATACCGATATTCTAAAAAAAAAAAGACCAAATCTGCCGATACCGATATTAATACCGATATATCATGCATCCCTATTACAAAGCAGTGATGTTTTCATGTGCAAACGTGATCTGGAAAGAATACGTGGGTACGGATGTGATTACCCCTCGTTTACTGTATATTTATGCTGTCAAAGCACCCCATAGTATTGTTCTCCAAATGCTTTCTCCCTCAGTCCCCCTTACTAAAAGTTCAACCCAAAGGACGAGGCCACCTTCCTCCCCGACCACCCAGTCACATGACCCCAGCATGCTGTTGTTTCTGATAGCACAGCCCCTTTCTGTCTGCGTAAACTGTTGTGTGAAAGAATGGATGAACGGATGAATGAAGGCATCACAAAACACTTCAGAGACGTAGATGAGTTTGGGAATGTGGGGGGAGCCGTGGTTAAATGGGTCAGGTCCCCTGACACAATAGTGGCATTACTGTGTGAGTCGTAGGGCAGACAGAACAACAGAGAGGGGGTACACCACTGGTCTCTGTGCCAATTATGGACATAAATAACTTCCTCACAGAGCTGCCATGGAAATTCAGGTCAGAGGGTTAACTCTGTTTTCAAGTAGAGGCCAGCTGATTCCCTGTATGATCTACCGACATATAAAAAAAGTTAAGTTTAGCACAAATGAGAATTTACAATATACTCAAACTTTTAAAAATCATCACATTTTTAAACTAGCAAAGTTACCATTGAGTAATGCCTGGTTCACACAGCAAAATTTTAAAATTCTTGGTTGATTTTTAAAACACGAGACCCCACACATGACAATAAAAAAATCATAGATATAACAGGTTTTGCTCTACTGTGTGTGGTGTGCAGACACACGACAAAAGACAAACACGCCACACATGAACAGATTTCACTCACCAACATTTAGATATCAGACAGGAAATCTTGCAAAAACTCAAAATCAAACCTGAGTTCAGAGTAAATAAACATGGCTAACAAGGAATGGTGATAGTTTGTGGACTGTTTTTAACGGTGAGAAAACAAAACATAAAAATGTCTCCGACATCCACCGGACTTTCTGGTGCGCCATGGCAGTGGTTTTGTCTTTTGTATTTTGGAATACTCTCCATGTTTCTGTCATCTTGCATTCTGATACACGTCACATTCAACAGGTGGCACACTTGTTTGTGCTTGGGGGACACCAAATACCAAAAATCAACACAATTATCTTGCTGTGTGAACCAGGCATAAGGAATTTTAGCTGTTGCAATTGTCAGTTATCAAGTTTTTGTATAAACGTGTTTGTAGGAAATTGTACAGTAAAAGTAAACTATCCAATTTTGTAAGAATATATGAACTTTAGATTTCCATTACGTTGCCATAAATATAAGCAACATGTCTGTTGTGTTGTCTTTACATTTGCTTGTCTGTCTTTTAACAAGCCCACTGTATCAAGTGTGGAGGCTTATCAACACCAGACACTCTTGTCAGGTGTCTCTTAGTCTCCTCGTAGCTGGCACCTCTCCTGTAGGTAGCTCCTGTAAACTGTATATTTAGAATAAGGGAAGGTGATGACACTAATGACCATGATGATGTTGAAGATGATGGGTGAGAGGGTTTAAAGATTAGGTGTTGATTAAGGGGTGACGTTGTGAGATTATCGCAATGACAGGGTGGGCAGATGACACACTGTGTTATTTTGAAAGCCCGGTTGTGGAAGCAGTAGTAAATTAGTACCCTTCCGAATGTGACGGTGTTTGTCTCTGTCCTCCCCTCCTTTCACATCGAACTGTGTTCAGCACGCTGCCACAGACAGCTCCACCATAACTCCCTGCAGGCAGGCAACAGTGTTGCTTAATCAGCTGGAGAGCAGTCAGGCAGAGCTGTAATTTATAGATGGATACAGAGCACTCTGGACATTTTAAAAGAGCAGTCCTGTTTGATAAAAATATAAGAGTAYCCCACCTGATCTTGCAGTCTAATAGTTTCATGTTTGCAGTGCTGTGCAATTCTAAATTCTTTGGAGGAACCAGCACTGAACATTCTTTGCAAACATGTACAAATCAAATGTATAAAAATACTCAATGTGAAAGGTAAACCATGCATAAAGAGAGATATGCATGGCAAATCTGATTTAGAGAAAATATGAGACCAAAATATTCCTGTCTAGAATGAGCAGCATGGCAGTACAGTAGAGCAACTTACATATTTTGCTTCACTTCTCTTTGATAAACCATCCAGGAATAATACAGGTCTTTTTCCACTCTTTGAGACCTCAGTCATTCATTGCCTGGAWCTTAAATACATTCATTGTAAAAACAATAATTACAGTGGTTTGCAAAAGTATTCATACCCCTTGAACTTTTCCATATTTTGTCACATTACAACCACAAACATAAATATATTTCACTGGAATTT